GAAAGGGTAAGATGGCTGAAAGTACACTCTGACACACAGTAATCCTAACTCTTTATGGAAAAAAGAGAAAGGACACAGCTTGTTGCTGACTTTCCTTCCATTCAAGTGACAGAGACAAAGAAAATCCTAAGTCAGGTAGGTTGACACGTATGGATTTAGTACAGATAAACTTGGAAAGCTTATTTTGAATCAGGGAAGGGAAAGCAATGGAATATAGTACCACAGAAGTCTTTGACTTGGTTCTCTGACTGGAAAGACTATCCTTCCTTGAAAGCTTTGGGAGACATGCAAAGGGAGAGGAGATCAGAGGTTTAGGGTGGACACCTATTCTCTTGGCCAAGTCTGTTAGCCCTGACTCATAAACAACAGAGTGTCAAATGATCATTCATTTAAAAACTATTTGTTGAGTGCTTACTATATATTATGCACTATAACTTTCAGCTGAATTACCCTTACAATGAACTGTAAGCTCCTAATGGACAGAAACTATTTCTTTTGTACTGGACAGAACCTAGGACATTAAAGACCCTTAAAGATTGGTTCCAAATCATCTATAAACAATTATAATTAAGATTATGTACTACAAAATGGTTATCCCTTCAACTATCTCTTTCAGTTTTCGAAGTATATAGGAAATGAGCTATGAGAGAAACCAAAAAATAGCTAAGAATGGAGGAGGAACTTGAGATGGGCTTCAAGGAGGTAGAGAAGAATGTAAGGATAAAATTATCAACTGATTCTTCATCAGTCCTCTTTCTAGTACATGGTTTGTTTCATGGTGAAGGCTGGGCATATACAAAAAAAAAAAGTTGAGAAGACATCCAAAAAAGATGACTCAGTGACATTTAATTATATGGATCCCTGTAAATGTATCTTTTCAGGGTGTGACTAAGAAAATAGAATTTGATAACAATGATGAAGGGAGGGTAAGGACAAGAATGGAAATATTGTTAAGGCATATAAATTACAAACTGCTAAATAGGAAGCGAATGGATACAGAAATAGAATCGATCATTTGGCTGCTATATTCTTCATCTCCCACTTCCCCTAAAGTTGGGCATAAAGAGAAAGTACCATCTACATTCTCTAGCCCTAAACTGTCTTACATAATCCTCTTCCCCACTTCCACACCCCAAACCAGAAATACACATTTATCCAAATGCAAGATTTATATATAAAGGTAAATTAGCATTTGCCTCGGCCTTCACAATAATCTAGGTTTGTCTTTGACTGTCTCCATATACATCCTCCTAGAAGGGACAGTTTGCTTTCTGTCCTGCTCAAAGGCAAGAAATCAGTCCAGCATCAGCTTTTCACATTAAGTCTGTTCCTGGCTTCTAAGAATCTTCATTTAAAATGTTTAAAGTCATGGGCCGGGGATTTAGCTCAGTGGTCCCGCTGCCTGCTTCACAAGCACAAGGACCCAAGTTTGATCCCCAGTACCAAAAAATAAATAAAATGTTTAAAGTCACTTAATATTTTCAAACTTTAAAATATGTAGACTTTATTCTGATCTGTGGATAGCTTTCAGGGACATGTGACTTATTATCTACCCAGGATAAATGTGCCTGAGTTAGAAACAATCAGTGGGTTGGTCACCCTTTTCCCCAAATATCATGGGCTTTTTCAGGATTTTTTTTTTTTAATGATGTCAACTTGACTCTCCCTTTTGAATCCTTGTGGGTATGAATAGTCGGCCCTCCCAGCCTCAGAGGGAAGAGAACCCTTTCTCAGGTTTTCTGTTGCATCTTGCTCCATGCCTAGCTTCATCCCGAAGCAGCATTCTGGGTGTGTGGGGCCACCAGCCAAACAAGCCCCTATGGAACAAAAAGTGTGTCAGTGTAGACAGGAATGAGCCTCCAGAGGGCTGTAGGGAAGGAAGGCAGTGAGCCCCAGACATGACACAGGCAGCTTTTCTGGCCCTGGCCCATTTGGAACTGCAAGGCCAGGCTCTGGAGTGGTTCTGGTACCCAGGTTTGGCCACTTCTTAAAGTCACCGAGCTTGCTGCCAGTCTGACTTCCTGGCACACAGGAAGAGCACGTGAACATCTCTTCTTGGTTCCTTCCTGTATCTGTACATAGACTGACTCCAGAGTACATTACTATGCAATGTCTGGGTCCATGTCATTCATGATCTTAAACAAGTATCTGGACTAGTGCATGCATAGAACAATGGTGTGTTCTCATCCAAGTTGAAAGGCACTAGTCCTGGTGCACTATGCTGGGCCTCCCTATCCTTTCTCACTATAGTATCATATTGTAGCAGGGTCTATAATGAATTTTCCACAGTTCTTAGATGAAAACACTCAGGATAAGGTACTTAAACTGCTTCTTTATCTCATGCTAAGTCCCCAAAGCATTCTTCCCCTGAATCTCACTCCCAGAACCCTAAGCACAAAGCCACAGCAGGTATCATCTAAATGGTGCTTAAAATAAATAAATAAATAAAATAAATAGGGCCAGGGATTTAGCTCAGCGGTTCAGTGGCCTGCCTTGCAAGCTCAAGGACCTGAGTTCAATCCCCGGTACCCAATAAATAAACAAACAAACAAACAAACAAATAAATGGTTCTGACCATTCAAGGCCAGATCAATGAAGCTAAGGAAGCTCGCCAAAGGCAGATTCATCTTGTGGCTCGACCTTCACTTCTATTCAGATAACACTTCAGATTTTAAATACAAAGGACAGTGCCAGTATTGCTGACGGTAATATGACCGACACAGACTGATCTATGAGAAAGGACAGAAGACTAAGGGAATTCATTGGTCCTTTCTCTAAGGAAAATTCCAGAAAGCTACAAGAGGACCTAAAGCGATTAACCAATATGAATTTGGAGATCTCACAGCAAGTCCTCTGCATTTTACCAAGATGTGAGGGGGAAAGAGGGCTATAGAAAAATAAAATCTGACCTTCTACATAGTAGGTCTTTAAAATTAGAGGTCCAAGGCCTCATTCATTGCTTGTTTCAGGTGATAAAGAAATGTGATCACTCAGAGTTACAACAAAGTCAAACTACAGATAAAGTGAATCTCTACACTAGAAGGGACTTCAGTGATTTCTTTAGCAATCTCCACCTTGTGTGTAAGTCTCTTTTCATGGTATCCTTGACCAGAGTCACCTATTTCTATTTAAGAGAATTTACTTTCTCATGAAGTCAACAGTGCCAATTCAAAAATTTTAACCCGTTAGTTCTGCCCTCTGGATACAGAGAAGACAAACCTGTTCTTTCTACCTTGTGAAACTGGCACAGCATGTGTTTACAAGATATTTCTTTCTTTCTTTTTGTAAGTAGTGCTAGGGATCAAATCCAGGGCCTTTAGCAGGTTATGCAAGCACTCTTCTTCTGAGCTATACTCCCAGCCTCAAAAAGGAATTTGTAAAGGAACCAGTGGCAGTTCTATTGCTCACTATTTTCCAACAGTATCCAGTCATTTTGAAGGGTATTGGGCAAAAAGTGGCCATTTATTTTGGGAATACTATGCTCAAGTAGTGCCTTAGAAGTTTAGAGTCTTTAGAAGAATTTAGGAGCTCAAATTCCAAGTTCAGACTGGAAAGTTATCTGCTTCTAGGTCCTCCCATCCCTTTAAAACTTGATGGAAGTAGCCACTAGGCCAAAAGATCTAAGTCTATGATCCTAGAGAGGTATACAATTCTTAATTCCTCAACCCCTGAACAAAATGGCTTGAGGATCCAGCAATAGTCACACTTGCTTGCACTGACTTGCCTTAGCAAAACGGAAAGGGGACTACAGGGCTGTGGTTGACTGCATAATTGTACTCTTCCTTCCTCTTCCCTTTTCTAATAACAACAGGCAAAGGACCCACAATGAAAGATCCTCTACTCTTAGCACCACCCTCCCCATGGGAGGAGAGTTAAACAAATTGTACAAAAACAAAAAACTAAACAAACAAAACCCTCCACGCTCCAAGATTGCCTTCTCTTCTTCCAAACCATTATCTTAATCAGCCAATAACCTTTACTTTTAAGGAGAAAGCAATTTCTCAGCATTTCTCCAAAGACAACAATAAAGCTTTAACTTTTCTATCTACTATATGAAGACTTGCTATTTAAAACTGACTGCAAGAATCTCTACCAAAAGAAACTAAGTACAGTAGCCAGGGAGAGCTTCCTCAAGTGAGAGAGATAGGCCTGAGGACCAGGTGAGACAGCCAGGGATTTACTCAGTGGTTCTATCGCGTGCCTTGCAAGTGCAAGGTCCCTAGTTCAATCCCCCATATCAAAAATAATAATAATAATAATAATAATAATAATAATAATAATAATAATAGAGCCACTTGCAGGCAATGGCTGGACTAGCAAATCCCTCCATGGTCAATGTGAATGCTCAACTCTCCACTTACATGGCGTTTGGCCCTGCCTCCCAGACTATAACAGAGTACACTTCAAAATGCCTGAAGTTTCATACAACAAAGACTCAGACACTCAAAAGGACCACAAAAGTAAACACCTTGTTTTTGCCTCATATGAAGTATGGATACTCCTTTAAAGTGATTTTTAACTAGGACCCAAGTCAAATCCATTCATTCGGAAAACACTAGAAGTCCCAGTAAACATGAACTAGCCCCAGGATAAACATATGCCCCCAAAAGGCAGAATGCCGAGATGTCCTTAGAATAACTTTCCACAAGTGGAGAGATGCTAATGGAGCCCCCATTATGCCCAACTCCAACAGAGAATCCCACCCCTTCCAGCTCCTTTTCCCAGGGACCTCCTCTGCCCGCTCCTCTCAATACACAGGACTTTGGAACAAGGAGGGAGGGATGAAAGACAGAAGTGGCAGAGGAGAGAGCTGAGGTTGCTTCTACTCTGGGAGATTACAGTGAGAAACATCTTCACCCCACAGGAATCGAGGTTACTGGGTGCAGGCACTGAACTTGAAGCAGTGATGTGAGACCAGGTTACTGATAATCATCACTGTTAAAACTTCAAAGCCCAAAGGGAAATGAGTTACAATGCTGTCTTGTCTAAGGGCTACTCACTTCTTTTTAAAGAGCTTGCGGAAGGAGCTGCGAAAGCCCCCTTTCTGGTCTTGCCTGGGATTTTGATCGCTGAAAGATGTTTGTTCACTTTCTCTTTCTTCCTTTGGACAGAAGCGGGTGGTGTCTTCTAAATGCATTTCCTGAAAACACAAAAGAGGGATAGTTTTTCACTCTTTTCCTAAAATATCTACCCTGACTGTGGGACAGTTATTTTAACTTTGTCATTTTTCTCTCCTACCCCAAAAGACTACGAGCCAACACCCAACCCTAACTAAAGCAAACTTATACTAATAAAAAAATTAGTAGATGGAAAGAGGAAAATTTTCTGCCAAGTGTTGTATTTTCTACATATCAAGGTCTAAGTCATAATGTAGGGTAGGCTATGACACAACAGTAAGTGAAGATAAGGAAATAAAGGAAATTAGGACATGTTTAAAATTATAGAAAGTAAATTCTTATTCTGGCCCCAAAACTGTCCCTTCATATCTCTGGATATGTTTCACTTTCTATAAAATTCTTTAATTGTAACAATAATTTTAAGCTTATCTTAACTCTCTGTTTGAGGCATAAATGGGGGAAGAAGTTTTTGAGAAGACAGGCATGGGCACATGCCTGTAATCCTAGCACTCAGGGAGGCTGAGGCAGGAGGATCACCATGAGTTGGAGGCCAGCCTGGGATACATAGTGAGTTCAAAGCCAGCCTCAACTACACAGCAAGATCCTGTCTCCAAAACTGAAAACAAAAAAAAGTTTTTAAGAGGCCAGAAATGTTTAGAAGTAAATATCAGCTGATATTTTAGTATAATTTTTATAATTCATAATCCATGATACTTAAGAGTATAAGGTAAAATAAATAAAAAATAAGGATGTCCACCACATGCCTCACAAGCACAAGGTCCCAAGTTCAATCCTGGACACACACAAACAAACAAAAAAAAAGATGCATTTTTTGTTGTTTGTTGGTTTGGTTTTTTGAGACAGGGTCTCACTACGTAGTTGAGACTGACCTGAAACTATGTAACACGCCCGGCTTTTTATTTTTTATTTTATTTTTTTGGTACTGGGGATCGAACTCGGGTCCTTGTGCTTGCGAGGTAGAAGGTGGAACCACTGAGCTAAATCCCTGGCCCTCTTTGTTTCTTTTTAAGTGTGAGATATGCCACAAGATATGCACATTTATATGCTTATAAGCTAGAGATGCAGGTTTATGTTTTTACTCTATATGAACAAAATATTTACCTCAAGACGCCTGTAATTTAAAAGCAATCTAAAACTAGCTGCTTAATTTTCAAGTACCCAAGAAGACGAAGCAAAAAATAGAGAATGCCCTGAAAATCTCATGAATTGAATGGGTAACTGCTGCTCATAGAAAAGCAAAGCATGAAAATGATTTTTTTAGGAATAATTGGTTTGACTTTGAGAACTTAAACTGGGGTTGTAGTAGCAGATTGAGAAATTCTCAGAGATTCTATTAAAACTCATAACTAAAACATGACTGACATCTTTATGGCATAGTGTATTGTTTCTCAGAGTGTAGTGTTGGGACTACAGGATTAGCTGAAGCCCCTATTTATGTTTTTGCTTCCTATGAAGTATGGAAACTCCACTGAAGTAGTTTTTAACCAGGACCCAAACCAAATCCATTCATTCAGGTACACTAAATCTACTAATTGTTTCATGAAAGTCTTTCTGTGGGACCATACCTTAATAAAACCTTGCATCTGTGTAGTATTCTATAGTTTACAAAGTATATTCATAAACTTTATCTCATTTGGCCTGATTATCACAACTTCTCTGTGAGGCAAGGTAAATATTATTTTTATAAATAAGAAAACTGGAAGGCCTGGCATGGTAGTGCACGCCTGTAATTCCAGCACTTGGGAGGCTGAGGCAGGAGGATCGCTGTGAGTTCGAGACCAGCCTGAGATACATAGCGAGTTCTAGGTCGGTCTCAACTACATAGTGAGACCCTGCCTCAAAAAAACCAAAAAAGAAAACTGGAGATAAGAGAAGTCAAGTGAATTTTCCAAAAGTGCACAGCTATTTGGCAGCAGAGTTAGGACTAGAACCTAGAGGTGCTGACACCCAGTCAAGTGCTTTACACTAATGCACATTGGCTTCTTTCTCATGAGAGAGATCACTAAGACTTAGGCCAGTGACAGTGAACCTTTTAGAGCTTTCAGTGTGCTGCAGCCATATGCCATAGGTTCACCACCACTGACCTAGGATCTAGGTGGCTTTCCTGGGCAGGGGTAGAAGATGCAGAGAATGTTTGAAGACAGAAAATAGTAGTAGTTCTGCACATCTCAAAAGCCAAGAGATGGTGCCTGTAAGGACAGGCCTTTGCAGGGTTGTCTTTCAAAACTAAAATCTCCATGTGGCCCCCACATCAAATGCACTCATATATACCTGCACACACATTCAAACATGCATGCATGTGCAAACATATACACCCACAACAGCCTTGCCACCTACACTCTGTGTACTACTTCTCTTTGGGACTCCCAACAATCCAGGCCTTCTGAGTTTTAAGAAAGAAAGATGTCCAAAAACATACAAAAGCAATGGGAATTTTGTCTGCATACTTGAAAATTTGTTATGTACCCACTGCTAGAGAAAAGGCCTTTTTAACTGACGTCCACTTGATACTTCTTAGTGTCTCTTCTTGAACTGACTCATGTCTTACAATATTAGAGGGTAAAACTTGTTGTCCAGCATATGTAATAGTTCCTATTATGCTACTGGGTATGTCTGGTAAACAGCCATAACTATATTAATCGTTGTTTATTTCTCTGATAAACACCAGATAAACACCAGAATGCTCAACATTCATTGAAGCCAAAGATGGTGTCTTGGAGTCAATGTTTCTTTTACTATTATGGGTTATCCTCATCCCAACGGAGGCTGCAAATTTAACGCAACACCGCTTTCTAATCAAAAGGAGAGTGGGCAGGTATGATTGGACTTTGCGGCCAACTTCGAAGTCTACACTGGGAGCTGTCTGCAAGGATGGTGGGAGAACGAAGTGGACTGGGCTGGCAGGGTTCGACACTTCGAACGCTCAAACAAGGAGATGCCACCTAACAGGCAGCGAAGAAATGAGAAGTGTGGGGTTGTGTGCAGCAACTTGAAAAAAGTACCACAAGCTGAGGGGGAGGAGTGGAAGGGACACAATGAATGAGTGTGAGACAGAGGCTGGCTCGGATGTGAAGAGCCGAGGTCTTCCCTGCCTTCTCACATGTCCGCGTGTAACCTCAACTCTGTCCTACCGAGCGCGCGCCGCCGCTCGCCACCAAAGGCCACTGAGAGGCGGCCCGTGA